AAGGAAAGAAAAATAGTACTTAAATAAATCAAGAGAAAAGTTATAATTAGTTGGCTTGAGTACTATCGAATTAGAATGGGCACGAACGCTTGATCGAGCTTCTTTCGATCAGGAGTCGAAAAGTTACGAAGAAAACTCGCTTAGTAGGTATCGTTATCACAATTTCAATATCACAAAAAAATGTAAAAGGTATAATCTCGCTCACTAACTGAACAGGAATATAAAACTCTATCAACTTATACCTTTATGACTGTCAATGAGTTTCATAAAATGGTCGTAGTCTTCAGCTTTAGGTAATATCTGGAAAATATAGGAAAAAAAAATCATGAAATTTCTGCCCTCACAGTACCTTTGGCGCGTCCTACCTTGCTTAACTGGATAACGGGAATAAATACGCTTCGTCAGGCTGCTTCAAATGACGCAGAATTTCGTGCGCCCCTTTCTATAGACTTCACTGTGGAAACAAATAGGGTTGTTACTTATTAGCTATACTGCACTGATGTACCTATATAAATCTTCCATAGATAAGATAAAATAAATAAAATGTCATTTAAAACAATCCGTTAGGCACTAAAACATACTAAAAGCCTTCGTGTGATTCGTTCTTTGAGTATTTTGAAATAAATGTGACAACAGTGTTAACCAATGCGTAAGATATTAATGATAATTTAAGTCGACCGGCCCCTTTTGTGCACACGTATCTATCTCGTTACAAAATCAAAAAATGTTTTCAGTTGTAAATGATCACGAGCAAAGAAAAAAAAAACCGTTTGGCCTAAATTTCTGTTCCTTCGCAACTCTTCTACACACCCGGGCACCATGTGTATAGGATAAGGCACGCCGTACCGCAAGCAAATTCATATTGGAGACCGTTTCTGGTCTCCAGTGAACCGTCTTTGGTTAATACGTATAAATATCGTGTAGATCGATGATCAGTAGAGATTTTTGGCGATCCAAGGCAATGTTGAACGTCATTTACGTTTTTCTTCTATTTTTCGCTTGAAAAAAGCCCCTGCGTATTATGTGCACATACATGCACGTAGACAATGTTCACCGCCGTCTGAATGATCATTGTCTCGCAATGGTACGTCAGTTCCACGAAACGTTCGCCCTTTTCTTCTACAAAGCGCTATTTACATGATCTGTTCATTAAGCTGAGAATATTTTACCATACACTGGTAAGCATTAACGTTGGAAAATCTTCTACAGAGACGAATGCATGAACAAAAGATAATTTCAGCGACAACGTACGTGCTAAGAAGCATCATTGTCAACCGGCGCTCTTCTACCGTTCATACTTACCACCAGCATGTAAAAAGGAACAATCTGCTGCTCAACTTAGGTTTCAATCAGTAAACTTACGTGAAATTTTTCTGACTTTGTCAAAAGTGTTCTTTGAAATGTTGATTGAGTTTTTCCGGTATTTTAAATTTTGGTGTAAAGCGAACCGAATGTTGGTTGCTAAAAGGATGCCGCGAGAAACTGTCAAGTCTAGGGTATTTTTGCGCTTATTGGGAAGAAGCTCTAAGGACAGCGGTGGCAATAATACGTAATCAAAGTTACTTCTTTCAGGACTGCTACAGGATCTACGGGAACTTGCAAGCAGTTCATGGTGGCAATCATTAGCAGCAACCCATTGGTTGTAATCTAACTATTGTGGGCTGTCCTTACTCCTGCTTGAAAGAGTTAAGAATTAGTTAACTCTTCATGACCTGGTACATTAGTAAGTATTTTTTATCTAGCATTTCCGCGGAGCATTGCTTCACGCGGCTAGCTTCTAGCTTAAAAGTAATAAGAACTATTCCTGGTCCTAAACCAAAGACTACCTAAGGCAAATGTGGAACAGCCGAAGTAGTTTCACAGGCCCTCAGAGATATATCTGCAGTAAACAATATTGATACGAAATGAAAAATACCTGAACTTAGTTTCATTCTAGGCCTATAAAGCTGACTCTTCCCATTATATTCGATATTTGGCGCTATCATTCGATTTAATGGCCATTGGAATCGATTATTTAACGACTTCAAGGTTAATTGCTTACCTCATCTTATTATATTGAGCAGCGTTACTTTGTACTTAGATAAAAATGTACTTCAAGTCATACTTCTTTCGACATATGGATGTTTCTATCTATCTTGAAACATTTCTGAAATCCCGCAGACCTACCGTGATTTTTGAACGACATATTTTATATTAAGAAGTAAGTATTAAAATATCCTGCAAGAAAATTTAAGAGGTCTTCTTAGTTTGTAGTCATTTAGATCTGTTTTCCTAGAAGTTTTTAATTACAGTGACCATGTTGTGAACTGGTAGGTTTTGATTCTGGAAAAGGCCGTTATCAATCCTATTACAACTGCTGTACCTGAATAATGCTATCTAAAGAGCTATACTACCAGCGATGCAGTTTGTTACTTTATTCTGGTGTTACTATTTCAAGAATATTTACTGCTCCGCAAGAACTACTGCAACTTGCCTACATAACTTTAAAATTGTCCTTAAATTATTCCTCTATGCGAGACGATAAGCAGCAACGCGACTGCTTCCGTTAGTATATATTAATGTTGCTTTTGCTAACTTCCGAAAGCTAA